AGCTCAAACCGCACCACTGTCGCTTTTGTCAGGGAGAGTGTTATGTCAAAATGATGACAAAATGTAACATAAAATATTACAAAGAATAAAAAGTTGACAGGTACAGATGCGATGCAAGTGTACACGCAATAATATTTAAAAAATACAGCACAATACAAATAATATTAATTATCAAATGCTATATATATATATATATATTATTACGTCATTAATATAAATTTTATTTTATACATGTATATGTATTGTTACTATCGTTTTTTTTTTTCACTGTCGCTTCATCAGAGAAAAATATGTAAAAAATCCCTTCGATAAAATATATATATATTTCTTTTAATTCGATGAGATCTAGTGCAGTTCATATATGCATTGTGTAACTGGAACGCACACGTACGTGATGAACTTTGCGAGTTTGTACAAGCATATCAACTCGATATATCTATAGAAAGGATTAAAACTATTCGTCATTGATATCCATCGGCATTAAAGCAGCTCTGCAGTCGTGGTATCAGTTACTGCATTTTGACACACAAATGTCCATAAACCGGCCCGTGCAAATCTCTATGCAATGACCGAGATAGCGAGTCTCGATAGATTCGGGACAGGGACAGGCGCGCGGAGGTCGCGTTTTTGAGGCAAAAAGCGGATGACACGATCAAGATCGCGTGACCATCGCGCAATGTCAGCATCAATTATTTATGAATTACGAGTCTGTAAACTCGTGTGCGCAGCAATACGAATGTGTGTGTGTGTGTGTGTTTCGTGCATGCATTTAAAGGCGACGAGTTCGTGGCAATCCGCATACGACGAGACGCATTCTTGAAAGTAATGCTCGTCATCGCGCTCGCACAGTACCTTCGGTAACGTGTGTTCAGACGAGGGAGCGGATCTTTCGCGGAATATGCACGGGAATCGCGATTTGTTGAGTTTCCACGACGTCGCGCGCTCGAGTTAATCCCCGAGAACACGACGGCGGCGGTGTTTCTGCGTGCGGACGAGTAACGCACGCGGGAAACGCTAATTTTCCGTCCCGCCCGAACGATTTCCCAAGCGCCTCTAATGCGCCTGCTGATAAGCCGCGGTGAATATTCAACGACGGCGGTCGAATACGTATACAGGATAAGTACCGAAGGAAACACACACACGCGCGCGCGCACACACACACACACACACACAAGAATTGTAGCAACTAAAGAATTGCAAGTGTTGATAATAAGTAACGAGAACTCGAGAATATCAAAAGAGCAGATGCCAATGTAGATTTACTCTATAAATAATTCAACGTCTCAACTGTAGAGATTTATGAATATTGATTTAAATAACGGAACTTAAAAATTGTCAACGTTATACGGATGGATTAAAAGAATTTTCGATACGTCACAGTCGCGATTGAAAGAATGCAAATTAAATCTAATATGTATAATTATGACGCAAATCATTCTGATACAATCTAGCGTTCAGAAACTTGTTCGATAAAGTGAAGGACGATTTTATGAGGATAATTGTAGCAGCTATACAGATAGTAATATCGCGTAATATATTATCGCAAATTGCATGTATTCACAACGAACGAACGAATATTCAGTCACGACAAAATTATGGCTAAAGAATCTACGTGTAGTCGCGCAACGATTACGGGACACGACAATATAATATTGCTCGCGAGCATATATTATAAAATATAATGTACGTGTAGACCGCGCTAGATAAAGCATATATACGTATATATATATATATATACGTATATATGCTACAAAGCGGCCGTGCATGCAATTTTTTTCACGCTCCAGGAAACGCGTCGCGATTGTCTGGCAAGAAACGAGCGTGTAATCTTTGCCTGGCGTTTAAATTAAAAATTGTAACTCGAAAAAGATGGACATCTTTTCAAAGCGCGTTACGTAATACCTGCGTTATTTATACACCTTTCCGGTCCTTATTTAGCACGGGACTTTTTTTTTTTTCTCATCGCTGCACCCGCGGAATATAATAGCCAAGGTTATTTTTCTGCGAAATATTTCTCACCTCACGAAAAGATTTATCATGGTATACGTGTCTTCTTCGCGCAGCCGTGAAAAAAAGCAAAAATCTTAAAGCGGCTTACAAAATACTAAAAAAAAAAAAAAAAAAAAAAAAAATCCTCGCGACGGAAAGTTTTATGGAGCTTACTGAACCCGTGCGACGGACCGTTACGGCGCATTGTGCTCGTCGTTTTAATCTCCAGATTCGTGCGCTTCCGCGTTGCCGCGCTGCGAAACTACGAAATCTCTCGCGAGATATAAACGACAACTCGACGAGAAACGAAATATGCATTCTACACTTCTCGCGCGCGCGCGCGTACAATAGCGCGTTTTGTCAAGCGATGACGCTTCGACGCGCGTTTCAATTTGTTGCGACACCGGCAATAACAGAAGAACGTTTGTTTCACACGTCTGGCGCTAATTACAACTTAAATTAGAGGAAGTTCCTTGACAATGAATGTGTGAATTATGTTGAGCGAAACGTCACATTCTTGAAGCTCGGCAAAATTATAGAAAATGTTAAACGAAATCAGATAATTCTGAGTCGACTTAAACCGTGCGTAATAATAAAATCTTCAACGTAAAATGTTCCAAGGACTTAAAGTTAAGGACTTTAATGTGCGAATTCACAAAAGTGTATGTCGCAACAAAAATGTCAATAACTTGCAAATTCGTTCTACAAAGAATTTGAAAGAATGAGAACAATCGTACTTACGTACAACGATATCGATAAGAAAAAAAAGAACACAATTCAACGAGAGTTTATTCTCAAAGACAAATTAATTCCTTGTTTGCGACAGTTTGCGTTACCGTTGTCGTATCGGAACGGTATTTTTTCGCGCGAAGATATATCGTGATTTTTATCGGAAGGGAGTCACAGTTGGGTATTATTACGCGCAAGCGGAATGGAGAATCGGAGAACGAGCAGATTCGTTCGAACGAAGCGATTGTACAATCGAGCCTGGATTTTCTCCGGGACGGAGAACTTTCGTCAATCGAGCAAAATGGAAAGAAATGAAAAAAAAAAAAAAAAAAAACGGACAGAAAAGTTCCGACGAAAAGCGTCCGACAGGTATTATAAGAAAGCACTCGTCGCGAGATCGTCCGAACTTCGCCGTGCCATTTCGAAGATTGGATTCTCATGGAGGATTTTGTATCAATCGTCTTTTGCTGGCAACAGACAGGTCCGTTTTTTTGGAGACATGAAATACTTCTGCCAATTCGATACGCATATAATGTCGAGAGGATTATATGGAAAACGGTACGCAGTTAAGTTCTTGTGTATTGCCGACGATTTTCAATATATAATATCAAGCACAGAAGATCTCGATCAAAATTGATCTCCGAGATAAAAAGTTAGCTGGCTCGCACTTTTCTATTCGAAATCGTACATTTTTCCATCGCGTAGTTTCACGTTTCAAATTTTTCGTTCAAAATTGTAAATTCCGTTTCTTTGAAGTATTTTGCGAAAATCACATAGACATTTATTGAATGCAAAATTTAATGTTTCAAATGATAAAAGTATTTGAGTTATTTATTTAGAATAGCGAACTTCCGTTTCCGATGTGCTAGTGAATATTGATGTGGAAAGCGATAAATGAATAAAGCGAGTGTTAGAGAAGAAAGAAAGAGTAATAGACAGAATGTGAAAACGTGTGTGAGAGAAAATAGCAAGAAGTGCGGAAAAGTGGAAAAAAAGTTGGAAAAGAAAAGAATAGAGTAGTTTAGAGAAAATAAGTGAGATAGGAGTGAGATAGGAGTGTTAGGGACAAGAGCGGCGAAAAGAGTGCGAAGCGAGACTGAATAGAGAGCGTAGATAGCGGCAGGTAAGGGAAAGCTCCAATAAGGCAGCGGGAATTTTGACAAGATAGGATTAAAGCTGGAGAAAAAAATAAGAAAAGAGAGAAGATAGAAGTGATAAAGAAAAAAAGAAAAAATATGGGGAAACCATATTTTTTCTTTTTGTGTCTAAAAAAGACTAAAAGCAAAAGATGAAAAAGAGAGAGAGAGAGAGAGGAAATGGAGAAAATTCTGAATAAAATAAGAGCGTGAGTAGAGATTGAAAAGGTTAGGAGAATTAGAGTAAGGGAAGAAGAATGTATGATGATAGTAGAATTAAATATCTTGGAAAAGAAAGGATAATAGAAGAGGAAATTAAAAAGAAGAATAGAGAGGATAGTTGACATGGACTTAACAGAGAGAGAAAAACACAATAGAAACTAGTAGAAATATAGAGGAGAGAAAGTTGAGGTCAAAAATATGGAAAAATTCAGAATGAGAAGAAGTGATGAAGATGGAATAAAGAGAAAAATATTTTGAATGAAAGAAAACTTTAAGTTGAAGAGAGAGGAAAAGAATAAAAAAAGAAGAAAAGAGTAATGCAAATGAGAGAACGAAGCAGAGAGAGGAAGAGAAGAAGAAAGGGAAAGAGCAAGTAAAAGAAATGATATAAAAGAGAAGAATGAAAGAGTAAAGAATACGTATGCGTAAAAAAGAGAGAGGCAGAGAGAAAGAGAGAGAGAGAAAGAGAGGATAAAAGTAAGTGAATGAGGAATGAAATGAAAGAGAGAAAGGGGGTAACAAAATGTATGGAGGAGAAAATAGTAAACAGAGAAACGGGAGTCGTATTTGCGAGCTTACGGAATGGAATAGTAAAGAAAGAGGCAAGGGTAGATTGGGGCGTGCGGCAAGTAGATCGAGAGATGGGAAAAATAACGAGGCTGCTAGCTAGGTAAAGAAAAAGAAAAAATGAAAGGCAAACATATGTGTATGTGTGTGTGTGTGTGTGATCGTATAGGAATACGTAAATAGTAGAGTAGGTAATTTGTAGGTATTAAAAGTAGTACGTTAACATAAGATGATTGGAATACACAAGTAAGTTAGTTTTTCTTTTGTATTCGAAGAATCGGAAACCCTCTTATGGAACAATGAACTTATCTATCTATCTATCTATTTAGAATAGCATTTTTCATAAACAGTACTCACGTTAATATGAACGCAAAAGACGTCCACGTACGTCCACGTGTGTCCGAGGTGTCCTCTTTTTTCTGCCTGTAACAAGAAAAAATAAATTGATTGCGTCTTTGATACCGTTTAGCGGTGAAAACTCGAATGAAACTCGATCGAATTTAATTAATTCCACTTCAAAAAGGAACTGTATCCTGAATACACAGAGAACCCGAACTAATGCGAACCTCTCGTGAAACACGGACGCGTTCTATTAGGCGATGTGATCGCGTCCCTTGTCGCAGGCAAATTCAATTAAACGCCAAGCATCTCGGACATTCTCCGTGCGAGGGTATCGAGTTGGAACCAACTTTGATTGTAAGTGACAATACACCGGACAAGTGTGTTCGAATATATGTTCGCAGGTTCAATAAAAAAAATCATATGAGAAACAGAAACAAACATGTATCGTGTGACAAAATTCACGTTCGCGTTATTCACAGACGAAAAGTTGCAACAATATTTGAAACGATATACTCGATCCGCAATTTACGACTTCGATTCCGCTGATACTTTATGAACAGAAAAGAAGTAAAAGAGAAAGAAATGGGAAAAGGAAGAAAACATGATTTTTAATATCGACTTTTGGTTTTAGTGAACGAACAGACGGGCGGACGGCACGTGATAAACAAACCGGGAAGAAAATTCGATTCGAGAAGTCGTTTTCGACGCGTTTTATTCATGGCTCCCGACTCCGAGAATATTCGCTCGCCTCTTCGTTCACGGCGTGTTTTATCGCGTAATCAAGCCAAAAGCGAGATCTACGATCTTCGGGCTCTGCCTTTCTCTCATTCTCTCTTTTACCCAGAGACAGAGAGAAACTCAGCCAGACGATAGAGACGATCTTCGCCACGTTCCCGGACGTTCCTAAAGCTCGCTCTTTCGGGTGATAATACGAGAAACGTGAACCGTCTAAGAGAATTATTTCGTACGAGCATCACGGAAACATATCGATCAGAATATATTCGGCAAGAAATGCACGAATTCTCTAAAAGAAAATTTTCCGCGTTTTTATTTCCATGTCTATTTTTGTATTATTTATTCTGTTTTTTTTTTAATTTGAAATCAAGTTTTTATTAAAACGAAACATTGACACTACATATTTAAACTTTATTAAATACACAGCATCACACCATTAAATTAAAGCAGCTTTTGTTTACGTCACTTTGTAATGCAAGTATATTGCAGAAAATTTGTCGAATAGGTGTATTTTTTTTGTTAAAAAAATGAAAAAAAAACAATATCTCAATTTGCATTTTTATTACATCGTCGTATTAAATCGTCAAAAGCTCGCTTTTATTCCAGCCTCGGCTTGCTCAGCTTATCGCCGAGACACCGTGTACACCAGGGGATCGCCCTTGGGCATGACTCGGGGAAGCGCTCAACGAAATCGAGTTCTCGTTCGCTTTATCCGCAGCTTCCGCCGCCGTTCGCTCGATAGAACGCGAAAACCCGCGAGAGGCATCGTTTATACAGAACGGTTTCCGCTGTGTCACGGAATATTGGACCAACTCCAGAGAAGTCGCGAATCGATTGATCCCCAAAAATGCGATCGACCGCACAAGAAGGTGCACACTTTCTTTGATTTCGAGTCAACTCTTTTTCATTAACAACAAAAAAGAAACGCGGAAACACAGCTGCGACTTTATACGTGTAATAACAAAAAAAATAAAACATTTTGTGTAAAATTTCCAAATTCTTCTTTGATGCTCAGAGTGATTGTGTTATTTAAGTGCCTCACTTAAAAACTATATATGTTATTTACGACAAACAAAGCATCGAGATAAAGAAATCGAAGAAGAAACACACATGTTTTAGTCACACTGTCCTGTTTCTTTTATAGGAACGGAAGTCAAACCGCATTCCCCATAGTGCAGATAACTACATCGCGGAACAGCAACCTGTCAGACGGTGGTATCCTCTGACATTTACATGCGACAAAACAATCGTCATCTCCGCGATAAAAAAAAAAAAAGTTAACTTCGTAGCGACACGCGTATCGCGCGTCGACAATTTTCGAATATACACAAGTGGAATATCTGGTAAACATTATTATCTATGTAAAAACAAAAAGCGAAGCTTTTGATACTAACGCGCGCGCGCGTAAAGATACTAACGTCAAAAACCAATATATAAGTTAATCTTTCATCGTGTTTTTGTAGTCATTTTCTTCTAGAAGCAAAGATAATTCTAAATATATTGATAAAATCTTCTTTAAAAAAAAAAGATTTTATAAAATACTCTTGTTACATGTTTCTCACATTTAGACACTTATAAAAACAGAAATAACTCATAGACTTTATTTCCTACGTTTATCTTGTTCTTTTTTTTTTTTTTATGTAGATAGGTACGTGTTTGCGTATAATAAAACGCGGATAAGTATCACAGATGTAAGTCCTCTATATAAGTTGCTTATACGGGACAATGCGACATTTATAGCTGTTTAATGGCGATTATGCGGACGAACCTGGCAACGTGTAATTATCGTATTACGTGTGCAACAAACGTGGACAAACGGCACGAAATCGAGGCACATAATGACGCATTGTAAATAACGCCTTTAACACATTGTACACATAATACAACAAGAAGGAGAGGAAAGGGAGCTGCTATTTTGCGGACGCACGAATCGCGTGTGCGTCGCGAGTTTACGACGTTAGTTTAGATAACAGTGTCTACTTAATTTTAATCGAACAATTACGTCTCGATGTCGTGTCCGTAGTCGTAAAAGTGTTGCCTAATTAACTCTTCGCGATTTTGCTCGAGACGCGTTAATCCTAAGAATCCCTTATTTATTAACTTGAGAAGAACGCGCAAAATTTAGTGCGCGAGATATTTCGAAGAATTAACTACGTTCAAACTTTCTCCATTTAAATCGAGACAATGGAAAATCTTTTATATATTAAGAGAAGTATTAAAACGTTGTGTAAAACCTTATAAAAATTTCAAATAAAACATTTCATATGCAACGATTCGATAAAGATCCATCAAAATATTATAGTTTTATGACATGTTAATTTATAAAAACAATTCTGTTCTTCGCCATCTCTGAATTAAATTAGTCTCATTTATTACTTCGCAGACGCGAGAGAAAAAAAAAAGAATCACGCGCGTCGTGAACAGATGAACCAGGTTTTCAAATTAAATTTCTACGTTATTGCAAATTATTGCAACATACATGTGCACACACGAGAAATGCGGTTTGCGATGCTATTACGTGTTTGGACGCGACGACGTAAGAGAAGCGACTCCGCTTTGCAACTTGCACCACAGCTGATTGCTATTTCGAATGCATCGATGACACTGCGTATACACGTACGTACGTACGTACGTGCAATACCGCATCTAGTTTCGTCCGATAGAGAGAAACCGGTGGTCTCTCCCCTCGCGCCAACGCGAGATTAAACTCGTATCGATTCCTAACTCGTCCACCTCTCGCACGTGTCAGACTCGCTTGCGTTGCGCAATCCACGTTCCCGTGCTCGTCTTGCGCAATATCGGAATACATATATACATATATATCGCCTCGAAAATCTGTATTATCGAATCAACGCGATATGTAGTACCTGCGACAGCTACTACAACAGCGGATGTGCGATTGCAAGTGCCCGCAAACCGCACATACGCAATTAGATTATCTTGAAACTTGTGTGTCTCTGATGTATAGACATAAGACACATTAAATTAATATATTTCACGGAAATTATGAAAAACTATAAGTAACGTGTGTATAGCACACACGTTACTTATAGTTTTTAAACAAATAAAGCACAGGATATTGCACAAGTACCAAGATCGATATTCACACAATCGGATCTCGTATTTAAAATTGTCTCAAGGTCTTCTTCAGCTGATTTCTATCAAATATAACGGTTCATGTAGCATCTTAAGATAAATTTAAAACACAATCATAAATTAATAATAAACTTCGAATACCGGTCTGATGTTTACGAGAGAGAGAGAGTGTGTGTGTGTGTGTGTGTGTGTGTGTTACGAGAGAAGTAGAAAAAGCTGGTCCTATATTTCTAACAAGTTTCAAGATACTAAAATATTGATCATGTTATATAAGAGTGAGATATTGCCAAGAGATATGCCTCGAGATATTAGAGAGCTAAACAGTATCTTTAAATAGCGTCAGTGTGTGAATATATCAGAGATACGATACCATCCTGTATTATTTTATCTCACATCATGTGGAAGCTAATTAGTTTTACTCTCAGAGAGGCGTCTCTAATTAGAATGTGGTTTTTCATCAAGGGAGTTGTTTACTCAGCGGAATGTTCTTTTGCCAGAGCAATATGATACATTTTCTCGACGTGTATAAATGACAGTATATATATTTGAAAACGAAAAACAAAAAAAAAAAAAACAACTGTAAAACTTCTGTAGCAAATAAAATTTATACACGGCAAAAGTTTTATTGCGAATGCAATAAAACATCATCGCGTTTTTTTTCTCCTCGCAAATTTTCGAATTTTCGAACGATTTTTGCACATCGGCACGCTTTTAACAAGTTTGAATACATGTGCGCTTGCATTTTTTCATTGTGTTGTTTTGTAAATTCTCGAGTGCGATGTGAAATCAATTAAGACGACACGCGCGCGCGCGAAAGATATCACATCCGCGACATTATGCGATGATTTACGCTGCAAAATGCGCCAAGCGATATTAGCTCGTAGATATTCAATTGCAGAAATACATATGTAAAAAAACGCGCGATTAATAAATAATATTTGATCAAAGCGTGTTTCTTAGTGAACGTTGCAATAACATTACAAAGGGGTTTTTTTTGCTCGAATCAATCGCAATTACGTGAATCACTGAATCGGTCCACCATTTGTTCGTTAAAACAACATGGACACCGTATCGAGTTTCTCTCCGCGGAATAAATATAATATCCGGTAAAGAACGTGAAATAAATACGAACAGTTGTGTTCTGTAAAAAAATACTTAAAAAAAATATTCGTGGCGCGAATATTACGTTATGAATCTTAGTTTTTTATTTTTTCGGAAATCTCTTGTGTGTTGGTTTTTATTGTTTTTGG